CGCCCTCCCACACCCCCAGCCCAAACCCTCATCTCAGACCCCAGGTCCGCACTAATCTATGCCTCATTTCTGGCGCTTTGTCATTTCAGGAATGCTACGTGAATGGAATCATGCCATAATTAACGTGTGGGGATTGGGTGTTTTCACCGCACATAATTCTCTGGAGAGTCGTTCCAGTAGGTTTCAACAGTCCATTCCTTTTTAACGCTGAGTAGTATTCCCCGGTGTGCCTGTATCACAGTGTGTTTCTCCATTCGCCCCTTGAAGGACATCTGGGTTGTTTCTTGGTCTGGGCTGTCACGAATATAGCTGCTGTGAACAGTCATGTGCAGGTTTTTGTGTGAACGTAAGTTTGCGTTCCTCTGGGATAAATGCCAAGGAGACCACTTGCTGGGGTCTATGGTAGTTGCTTGAGTGGGCTTTTGAAGGATGCACTTGGGATGGGGGGGCAGCTGAGGAGTGGGGCCATGTTGCAGGTGGACATCGGTGGGAAGCATATGCCTGGGAGCTGGGCCACTTGGGTTCAGATGCAAGATCAGCCTCTCCGCCTTGGTGAGCTTTATCCATCTGTAAAATGGGGGTAAAGTGAGCCTGTTGTATAGCTGACGTGTATAAAGTACTTGGGACGCAGTAGGTTCTCAATAGATAGAAGCTGTTTTTTTGTTCTTTGCTTTTGAGAGAACGTGAGCGTGGGAGAGGGACAGACTGGGGCGGGGGCGGGGGGGAGCGGAGAGAATCTTAAGCAGGCTCCGTGCTCATGACCCTGGAATCATGACCTGAGCTGAAATCAAGAATTGGACCCTTAACCAACTGAGCCACCCAGGTGCCCCTAGAAGCTGTTCTTAATATGGGTTAAAAGAAAACCCGCCAGGCCAGAGCAGGGTCTGTGCCCCAGAGGTGGCCTCCAGGAGGCCTTTACCTTGCGACTTGTGACTCTGAGGCACCCCCTTCTGCCTTGGGCAGAGCCACACTACCAGTTTACCAGTTGTCCCTTCAAAGGCTGAGCCTCAACCGCCCCCCCCCCCTCCCCCCCCCAGCTTTTCCCTGAGAAGCCCCTGGCCCCGTTCTCAGACTGGGCTGTGAGTCTCTGGACGGGCACTGGCATTCCCCAGTGAACTTGGCCAGGCCCATGCCAGGGATCAAAGGAATCCCAGGGAATTCCAGATTGTGCCAGGCTCTGCTGGTCTGGATTTGCCTCACAAAGTCTAAGAATGTGCCTGGATCCTTTCAGATGTTGCTACAATTTAGTCTCTTTCAAAATGTGTTTGAGCTCTTACTGTATTCGGGGCACTGTGCTAGGTGTTGCAAAGGGCCCAGAAAAAAAAAAATCACTCTTTTTCAACAGATCAAAGCAGACGAGCCCCTTGGGGAGCCCCTTGGGGAGCCCCCTGTGGCCACATGATAAAGTCTGCGTTCATGGGGCGGCTGGGTGGCTCATTTGGTTAAGCGACCGACTTCAGCTCAGGTCATGATCTCGCGGTCCGTGAGTTCGAGCCCCGTGTCGGGCTCTGTGCTGACAGCTCAGCGCCTGGAGCCTGCTTCTGATTCTGTGCCTCCCTCTCTCTCTGCCCCTCCCCTCCTTGCGTGCACTCTCTCTCTCTCTGAAAAAAAAAAAAAACATTAAAAAAAAAGAAAAAAAGTCTGTGTTCAGTGGCATGCAGAGCTCTTCTGGCTTGAACTGGCCATCCCAGCTCCTTGTTCTGGAGGCCGCCGCTCCTTGCCACACACCCTGTGCTCCTGCCACCAGTGTGCTCACCGTGTCCCGTGCACAAGGCAGGCCACTGTGCTTTGCTTAGGGTCTTACTTCCGCTAGTGTGCCTTTCCTTCCTGGTGAAATCTTGCCTATTTTATTTTTAACCAAAAAAGGATCCTATGCCCTGGATGAAGGATTTAAGGAGCACGCAAGGCCGCCCAACCAAAGCGCCTCGTGCTCTGGAACTGCGGGCCCTTCCATAAGGCGGCCGTGCTTTTGGGACTGCGCCTTCCTCCTCTCTCCGTTCATTTCACAGGGTGTCTTGGGGAGGGTTTCACATCTGTACCATCAGAGTTGCCTCGTTCCATCTGTGGCTAAAGCGGCACGGTGTTCCTTCACGTGGCTCCACGGCGATATATGTGTGAACAGTCCCCGGGTGGTGGCTTCTTGGCTGTCCCCACTCCTGGGCTCTTCCGGGTCATGCTGCATGTTGTCGGCACACGTGTGGGGGTGGGGGGCGGTTTACCACTGCGCTCCGGTGCCCCCTACCCCTGCCTGCCTTAGTTAGATTAGTGTCCGCGTTCGCGGAACTCTCCGTGAGCCTCGAGGACAGGCATCGCGCTCCACTTCCCTTCTCCACTGGGCGCCTGCCGTGTTTGCTGACCATCCGTTTCCAGAAGCATGTGGGGCTCTGGTATTCGCCCCTCGTGCTGCCGCTGTGAGTCCCGCCTCTCGTCGGGGCTCCAGCGGGGGCAGAGCCGCAAGAGCAGGGACGCCCGCACCGCTGCCTCGGTCCCGCTTCGTGTTTGGTGCCTATCGGCGGCATCCTGGTGGCCTAATGTGTTTCCATGGCAATGGAGTCCCACAGCATCATTCTTAATGACCACCTACTGTTTCACCAGAGAGATGGGCCACCATATGACCAGTGCCATCCTGATCGAATTTGGCCTTAAAACAATTTAACGGACTTTCTCTTTTAAAAAGTCCGAGAGGACAGATCGCTGCTCGGGCGTCCGTTGCCCGATGAAAGTTGTGACGGTAGCTGCCGTTCATCGAGCGCTTCCTCACAGGAGCACATGAGCTAGGACTTCTCACTGAGCAAAGGGTTTGAGCTCTGTTGTCAGATGGTACAGCAGTCTTCTGAGGCAGGCACTGTCGTCCGTATCTTATGGAGAGAGAAAGAGACTGAACTTGGTAAAGGTCACTCAGACGGTGCGTTTCAGGAGCTGGGATTCCGCCCCAGGTGTCCTTGACCGAGGAGGACGTGAGCTGGTACCTTCCGAGCCCGCCTGCCTTTTAGGGAAGATGGAAATGAGAGGCGGGGGCGGGGTGGTGCCAGGGCAGGTTACCTCTGGGCCTTGGGCCAATGGCTGGCTGCCCCAGAACTGCATGAGGTCGTACCCAGAGAGAAGATGGCCGCCGGCGGGCCTCAACTCCGCCATTGAGGCGGCACAAAGGGTCCCTTTGAAGGGAGAGTCCGTGGCACCCCGCCTCCCAGCCCCGCTCCCCAGCCAAGCATCCAGGGGGCTGGCGGGCATTTCTGGCTCAGCTTTCTGGCCGGAGCTTGGAGGAGTGGTCTGAAATTCTTTCCTTGAGCAGCTCACTCTTGGTCAGAATGTGTTGCTTCTAGGCCGATGTGGTGTTGAAGTGCGCATCGGGTCACCCGGTGCGACCTGGGAGCCTACCCTCCACCAGGCCTCTTCCTGAACAGCCAGTCCTTTGAAAATGTATTGATTTCCCCCCCTCCCTTCCTTGCTTTTGCACTTTGGATGAACCTTGTTTTCGAAGAACAGTAGAAGGTAATTTTCCTGTGCTTGCCAGCTGGCCCATAATTGAGCAATTTCAATAACACCCACTGTAAAGTCTAATCGAAGTAAACAGGAAAATATGATTTACAATCTGGATAGCAAGTAAATACCAGGGTGCAATTAATTTTTACACAGAGCAACAGATTCTAAAACATTTTCCTGCACCGAGCAGTTTGTTTTTAATTACAGATTAGGAGCTGGCCTTTTCTACTATTATCGTCATGATTTTTTTTACTTTGTGATGGTGGTCTTCGGGTTCCTTGCATCTGATGTGACTTCCTTTGACGGTGTAACCACAGAAGGGTGGGATGGCGAAACAGGATCAGAGAAACTGATTTGTAAGGAGCGCGTTTTCAAACCTGAGCCAAGGGCTGTGTTCTTTCAGCATTTGTTTGGGGGGTGACGTGGGAGGAGGTCCTGGTGGGCCGTGTGGCATGGCGGCCTGAGAGGTCTCAGGCTACAAAGGTCGCCAGTATTGCAAATGTGTCGTTGTTGAGATGTCCTTCTAGGGATGAGAAATAGTGCGCCTTTAAAATTTTTTTTTAAGTTTATTTATTTTGAGAGACAGAGAAAGAGCATGAGTTGGGGGGGGGGGGAGAGAGAGACAGAGAGAGAGAGAGAGAGAAAATCTCAAGCAGTCTCTGTCCTGTTAGTGCAGAGCCCCACATGGGGCTCCAACTCATGAACCGTGAGATCATGACCTGGGCCAAAATCAAAGAGTCGGACGCTTAACAGACTGAGCCACCCAGGTGCCCCTAGATATGTGCCTTTCAGTGGCCAGGGTGTCTGACTCTTTGATTTTGGCTCAGGTCATGATCTCCCCGTTCGTGAGTCAGAGCCCCGCGTTGGGGTCTGTCATGACTGCTTGCAGCCTGCTTGGGATTCTCTTTCTCTTCCTCTCTCTCTGCCTCTCTCTCTCTCTCTGCCTCTCTCTCTCTCAAAATAAATAAGTAAGTAAGTAAGTAAAGTAAGTTCTCCAAATAAACAAACCCTCCAGATTCTTCCAGTAGCTTCTGTTCATAACCGGGAGGAGGGTAGTAGCCTCCTTGCTGACTGAGGCTGCCTGAGGGCTGACCCCTTCAGTTTTGACTGTGGGGCTGGTCTGTATCTGACCCTCAGCCTTGGGCATATACCGAAGCTGTGTGTAAAGCCAGCTGGGTGGAAGGTGTCGCGTGACTTGAGCAGAGTCTGGGGGACAGCAGATTGTGACCGACCCAGACCCTGAGATAGGTCTTAAAGGTGCCATGTGGCTAACTGAGACACGTTGCTGGACCCTCAGCGCGTTGGCTTTAGGGACGCCTCAAGGCTGGCATGAGGTGGGGTGGGGACTCTGAGAAGGTGATTCTGGACTTTGTGGCCAGAATGCCTCTCCTTTGGCAGGGAGGCAGTTCCATTCCAAGCAGGGTCCCGGCATGGGGTTGGTGGGGGCGTGGGCAGCTCTCTCAGGGCCCTGGTCTTCCCAAGACCTGAATCCCTTTGCCTTTCTGTTGTCTTTCCAGGGAGTTGACTGCACTTGGCCATTTCCTGGAAGAGCCCCAGCCTGAGGGCAAGCGGCCGATGGGGAGCTGTTACTGCTGATGCCAGTCACCTGGGAGGTGCCCAGGAGGTCACCCTCTGCCCAAGTCTGCCCAACCGAAGATGGCTCGTGCCCACCCTGGGATGGAGCCCAGTGCCTGAGGTCCTTACCATGGTGATGATCCTGAGTAAAAGCCTCGACAACCAGGGAGCTGACTCCATAGCATGCAGGACCTTCAACCCTGAGCTGGTAAGGACTCAGTGGGCCTCATATCTCAGATGACCTTTCTTGAGGCCTGGTGTCCAGCTGGGGCTGTGGACCGAGCATGCAGGCTTAGCAGACCGAATCCAGAGTGCCCGGGAGCAGAACTCTTGGAGATGCTGCAGGCCAGGGCGGTGGGCACAGTCACCCAGAGCCTGGCCAAGTACTTTCAGGAAGTAGCTGGCGAGGTCCGGCCAGCGCCCTGCGTGGTTCTGCCGTCCCTGCAGCTCCTTCTGGTCTCCACCCGGGGAGGGGAGGGGGTTTCCGGAAGGGAGGTGGCGGCCGCCTGGGGAATGTCAGGGGGGGGGGAGGAGAGGGAAAAGAAGGCGCGGTCTGGCGGCCAAGATGGTGGGCTGTGGTGACAGCCGCTCTCCGCCGCCTTCTGCCCAAGTTGTCCTCTGACCAAGCGGCCTGATGGGCTGGGCCAGAGAGGCAGACGGCCCGGCCTTCTCCGACTGAGAACAGAGTAGCTTCCTAAGCCCCTTCCAGCCCCAGCTCCTCAGAAGTGAGCGGGGCCGCTTCCTCGCAGAGGGGCCGAGAAGAGGTCCCGCTCCGGCTTGAATACACTCGGGGAGGAGTTTTGCAGATAGCTACATCCCCAGCACTCTGGCGCTTCTGTGGTCAGCAGGCACCCCTCCCGGTGCCCTTCACAGCCCCTCGTGTGAGCCCACCCTGGCACCCTCGTGGGCTCCCTCCCCAGGCTCGCACCGACAGCCAGGCCAAGAGCGGACAGGACGGGCCGGGTCTCCAGCCCTTGAAGGAGTGTGGGAAGGCTGCCGAGACCCGAGGCCTTTACGGCCCGCCGTGGGTGTGCCGGGCACTGGACTGGAAGCGTTCCGCAAGCGAAGGTGGGCCGGGTCTCTCCGCCCACCACGGCTTCCTTTCCACTTTGCATTGAGTATCTTTAACTAGATTCTCTCTCGCCATCCCCACTCGTGCCACTCTGGTCCCACCTGCCGTCCTCTCTCGTCTGGAAGTTTGTTGTAGCAGATTTGCTTCTGGCTCGTTAGCCTGTTACGCACCCAGCAGCCACAGGGACTACAAGGCAGATGCACCCCTCCCCGACTCCAGCCTTCCACGGGCTTCCCACCTCAGGTTGAGCAACTGCCAAAGACCTGGCCGGGAGGCACGAGGCCCATGTCCTCAGGCTTTCCGTGACCATGCTGCTTTTTCTCTGCTCTCCCTCTGCTCCCTCCACTCTGCTCAAGCCACACTGGCCTCCTCGCTCAACATGTCAAGCAGGAGCCTGCCTCGGGGCCTTGGCACTTCCTGTGTGGCCCAGGACACTCCCGCTTAGCAGGGCTCCTTCCCTCCCTCCCTTTCTTTTTTGCTCACTTAACCTAACAATGAACTCTGCCACCTTCACCCCCTCTCCCATGCTTGCTGCCCCTCTCCCTGTCTGTCTTCCCTCAGAGTGCCTATCCCACATTTTGATCTCGTTTGTTGAAAGACTTCACTGAAATGTGAGCTTCATGAAGGCAAGGAATTTTGTTTCTTTTGCTTGTTGCTGAGTACCCAGTGCCTGAGACCAGGGCCTGGGCGGTGCTCAGGGACATTTGTAGAGTGAGTGAATGTGGGTTCCTGCACCCCAGCTGCTGCTCAGCTCGGGTTTGCTCTGGTTCCTCTCTGGCTGCTGCTCAGGTTCACAGCCGAGGTGCGGGTATGAGCTGCTCTGCTTTCTGCTGGTGGGGGGTGGGGGTGGGGTGTTTTCCTGCTGAAATCTGAAGAACACATCTGGAGTAGCTCTGACCAAAAAGGAACGACCTCCGGGGTGAGGGCCATCTGGAGGTCCCCAGGGAGGGTCCCTGCCCGGTTCCAGCTGTGCTGCTGGCCTCAGCAGCTGCTGCTGAACTTGGTCCCGTCTCAGGGCCGGCCTGGCCGGGGCTGGCTGTGGAGCTGGTCCCGGGGCACGTGGGCCCCAGGTCAGCTGAGCTGCTCTTCCAGGAGGCAGGGCCTGAGTGCCTGCCAGCAAGAGCGTGGCCTCCCAGCCCTAGCCTGGGAAGGCAGACTCATCTTCTCAGGAAAGCAAAGGAAGGTTGAGGGAAGCGGACTTGAAGTCCAGGCCTGCACAGCCAGCAACCGAAGGAGGACCCCACATCGCCTCGGCCTGGTGTTGACGTCCGTGAGACGGAAGAGAGAGTACGGTGATGGTCGAGTGTGCTCTCTCCCCCGGCCGGCGGTGCTGGGAGGAAGCAGACGGGGGCTTTGCTTCGGCTTCCTAAACTGGCAACACCAGCCTCCTGTAAATACCATCAAGATAACAACGGGAACATGGAAAAGTGTTTCTCCTTTGTTTTCTAAGCAGGCTAAGAAGATAACAGAAAGCAGGGGGCGGGGGGGGGTGGGCGGGGGGGGGGGGGGCTTCAGATTAAAAAAGAAAACATGAGTCACAGGCCACTTTGGAATTAGGGGAGCAGGCCCCGGACACACAGCAGTGAGAGAGAGAAAGTCTGAAACTCTGGGTGAAAGTCACCTGGGGGCCACCCAGCGGCCTTGGGGACACGGGGCAAGTTGGCCTGTAGACCCTCCCTCCCTGCCCTCTGAGGTCTCTTGTTCTTTTTCTAAAAACGAAATGCCGGGGACAAGTGACTGGCCTTGTTCCCGAGAGAGATGTAGGAAAACAGAAAAAAGGGCCGACGAGTGCTCAGCTGCCTGGCCCTGGGGAGAGAGGGCTGAGGGCCCCGCCCGGCCCCAGCCCCGGTCCGGCTTGCACACTGCACAGCAGTGAGGACTGTGCTCGGTTCCCCTTTCCCCCACTCTGCTGGTCGCTTTCCTCTGCAGAGTGGGCTCTTCCTCCTCGTGTTCTAACATTAGCTACTGCTGCTGGAAGGCAGCCCGGACGGTTGACCTCGGGAGCGGCGTTCTCCGGCCCCTCCCTGCACGCCCACACTCAGGCCATGGCCCGTTCTCCTGGGCCCGAGTGACCATCTTCCCTGGCCCGGCCTGCCTCCACCCCCCCGGCCAGCGACAGCCCTGTCTCTCGAGTCTGGAGACTGTCCCAGGGTAGAGGGTGGAGAGTGGCTGCCTCTGTTTCCCCAGCCTCGAGGTGTTTCCCACAACAGCCGACACTGGTTTTGGGAGCAAGTACTTGCCTTTGTTCTTGTCGGATCAGGATGCCGAGGCTGTGATTTGCCTCTTGGGAAGAGCCTGGCCGTCCAGGCCTTGCACACAGCTGCCTGGGCACGGAGAGCCTTCATACCCACAGCCACCCTGAGTTGGCATTGGGCGCAGCAGCCCCAGCCGGGATCGCTGGCAGGCCCCAGGCTGGCCCGAGTTAGAACCCAGGGGTGCACGTGCGGTCCACGGCAGTCCGGTGCCTTTCTCCCACCTACCCTTAGCCACTACCCACGCCTTGGCCAACCCTGACGCCTGGGTGGGGGGGCAGGGTCACCACTCCGTCTGTGTTGGCATCTTTGAGAGCGTCCACACAGGGGCACTCGTTCCTCTTTGGCTTCTTTTTTCCTTGTCAGGCGTGGCTCCGTCTTCTTCCCACAGCCATGGTCTCACTGTGTTCCTTTCAGCAGGCTGGGGTGCCCTGCTTGTCCTGCTCAAGTGCGTGGGTGTGAGCCCGACTGTGTCACGTTGTGGTTCCCCATCACACTGTCATGGGGAAGGAGTGATGTGATTGCTTTAGTCACTACTCTGCAGAAGAACGTTCTGAGGAAGCAGGATTATGGCCAGAGATGAGCTCTGCCATTTTCTGTCTGAGCAAGTTCCTCATTAAGTAAAGACCTGAATTGTCTTTTTATTCCGATGGGCCCCTGAAGCCCCAGTTTGGTTTCCAGCTTTTGCCTTCTCTACGGAGGATCTGGTGCCAAAACCTTGTCTTGTGACCCAAGGAATATCACAGAGACCAGGCCCTGCCCTGGGGTAGGCTTAGGAGTAGAGGCGTCACGGAGAAATAGAGTATCTTCTGCAAACACCAGCCAAGGCCTTGGCTTCAGTGTGCACACTGCGTGTCGTATGGACCTTGAGGCTAGGAGTCCCCAGGGCCCGGCGGGCCTCACCACATGGTGACTGGCTGGCGCATCCTTCCTGCAGTGGTGCAGAGGGTTTGACGGAGTGGGAAGGCTGGCTGCAGAGTGGCATATACCAGCAGGAATTTCATCATGTACCAGGTGTACTTGGGATAAATCGGCTCTGGCCACCTGGAGCCCAGACGGGAGCTTGGTGTTGGGCTCAGGGAAACCTGAGCCTGGTCAGGGTACGCCTGGGCCTGACGTCCCGGGAAGCTGTCAGGAGAGCGGTGAATGAGGGAGGTCCCAGAGAGGGCAGGGACAGGGCGGCTCGGAGGCTTTTGGAAGCAGGTGCTCATGGCAGGCTCAGGGCCTCCCTGCCGACTCCCAGCGCTTGCTCAGTCCGGGAGCCGGGCCGCAGAGCAGAGAGGGCTGCACCCACGTCCTGTGCCCGTCCCGTGTCAGGGGAGATGGGGACACAGTCCCACCGAGACACTGCTGTGTGGAGGGAGGGGTCCCAGTGCAAAAGTGGGGTGCTGGAAGCAGAAGAAGGGGGGGCTGCATTGCCAGGTCATGCATTTTCACGCACTCGGTGAGCGAGCAGGAGTGGGGCTCGCTGAGAACAGGGGACGTGGCGATGTTCCTTCAAGTGGTGTGAGATCTGGGTGCGACCGATCGCTGCCCACCTGTGCCCTGTGCCCCGCCAGGAGCCTTTGCCGAGTGTTCGTACTGCCTGCAAGGCCTTGTGGAGAAAAGCACGGGTGGGGAGGGTGCCCTTTGCCTGGGGCGGTCAGGGAGGGTGGCCGAGGAGGCCGTGCGGCCGGAGTGAGGCGGGAAGCCTGTCGTGGAAAGACTCGAGGTGGCATTGGGAGGTCCAGTGTCCCACGGGCTTGGCTCGTGTGGGCCTGGTGGCTGCAGGGAGAGGGGTGGTGGGTTTCATTCCGGTTGCCGTGAGAAGTCATTGGAGGTTTGTAAGCAGAGAAGCAGCATCGCCTGGCCTCTGTGGGTTCTGGGTGGAGAACGGACGATGGGCCCACGGCACAGGCTGGGGACGGGTTAGGAGGCTGGTTCGGTCTAACAGCGGAGGGCAGCGGTGGCAGTTCCACGCTCCCGTTCCACGTGTGTGCTCCCCGGCCTGGCCAATGAGCGGCCGTAGCCAACGGGGATGAATCCTTGCTGAGCGAATGAACGGGTGAGCGAGGGCCCGGGAGCCCCCGCATGCTGGCGCAGTGGTTTCCCTCTGCGTCTGTGGGCTGGCCACGCCGGCCGAGTGGGAGGAAAAGCCCCGTGAGCCGTGCTCCGCTGACAGGTCAGCGGGCTGGCTCACCGGCTCGCTTCCTGTCGTCTGGAAACCCCAAGCCGTCCTCAGTGGCGTCTGTGCGGCAATGCAGCAGGCGGGCTGCTCGAGGGTCCTTGCTCTCTTTGGCTTTCCCCGGCCCCATCCCAGTTTGGTTTTCTGTGCGCCGCCCGCCCGGCTCGCTTTGCCACCTGCCTCCCCAACCCGGCCACGGGGCGGGGGCTGTGGTTCCCCAGCAGGTGTTTGCTTTGTGCCAGGGTGCCCCTGTAGCGTTGGAGTTTTCTCTCTCGGCAGGTGAGGCCCCTGGCACAGCCAAGCCCGACTTCCCTCTGTGAACCCTCCCCCTGGGAGTGGAGCCTGCCTGGTGTCCATGGGCTGCATGCTTGGGTGTCGGGGGCGGCACTGCCCAGAGGCCGGGCTCTTGGGTCTTTGTCACCCACTCCCCTTGGGTGACTTCGGTGTGGGTTTTCAGCGCGCGTCCTGCTGTGGGAGCCAAGTCATTTGGAAGACAGGCAGACACGGCCATCTGACTTTTTCCAGCTGTTTCCTGGTTGGCCGTAGACTGGGTGGTTAAAGTCACTGTGGGATCCAGGAGGGCAACCCGTCCTGAAAATAGGATTCTTGTTCTCAACCGAGGAGTGGGCACCGGAGAAGCCCTGCCCCGCCCCCTTTGCTTCTTGCAGCCTTCTGGTCCTTGAGCACCGGCTCCGGTGTTCCCCGCAGGACGCCGGCCCCGACCTCACGCACCCCGGCACCTTGGCCTGGGTCCTCTCCCCTCCGCTCCCACGCTCCCTGTCGTGCGATGTTTCGTCTGTGTGACTCTGTCCTCCACGAAACGTGAGCTTCCTGAGGACCAGGGCGGGCGTCCTTCACCTCTGTGTCCCAGGCTGGCCGGGATGGCCCCTTAGTGACCTGAATGGATGAACACGTAGCTGACTGAGCGCAGAGGGCTCTGAACTGGAGAGCTGGGGACAGGCACTTGGCGCCCCTTTATCTGGGTGGGGCCAGGTCTTTCCTAGTCAGCTCCCTCTCAGCCTTGTGGCCCTTAAGGCACCAGGGCCTGGGTTCCCGCCCTCTTCTCAGCCTGGAAGCCTGCGTGTCCCTGTTGTTGGGGCTCCTCCCAGAAGATGGAGTTCTCTTGGACGGGCCGACTCCTCTGGGGCCGAGAGCTTCTTTCCCCATCACGTGGTCAGTCCCCTCGTGCAGCCTGCGTGTGAATAATTTCCAGTACTTACGAGTGGGTGACTGGCGGAAGGAGGAGGGAAGGAGTCGTAAGAATGCTTGAGGCGGGGCCTTCTTTCTGGGGCCCCGGTGGGCACGGTCTCCTCCTCACCAGAGGTCAGAATAGGCCGCCTGACCCCCGCCGCAGCCGGCACAGGGGAGCCCGGAACGTTTCGTGCTCAGGTTACCGTGTAGCCGCGGAGCAGTGTCCCGTCTTGGGGTTCTCGTGGAGGCCCCGGTGGCCCGTTTCTCTCCCAGCGGCCGTAGCATTTTGTTGAGGGTGGGTGTGCGGTGTGAGGGGAGACGCACGATGCTCCCAGTCGAAAGGGAAGCCGTCGGAATACCGTGCCAAGGAGTCTGAGAGGCATAGCTCTTTGCTGTGACCAAATAACACCTTCGAGTTTCTGTTTCAGTTCAGAGAGGGTGCCTGGGGGGGGGGGGGGCTCCTTGTTGCGGCAAAGCAGCTTGCACGGCGAAGGGCCACCCTCCTGAGGTTTACCTGATGCTTCTGTGTAGAGGAGGAAGAGCTGTTCTTCTGGTGTCTCGGGGTGGGGAGGGGGGGTGGAGGGAAGGAGCCGAGGGTGACAGATGGGCCTGTGCTCCTCACTGGGGGCTCTTCCTGTCATCGAGAGGCCCCCTCTTTTCCCAGCCTGGGCTGTGGGGAGGCCTCTCTGCAGCCCAGCTTGGGGAACCGTGTATATCACACCTCGTCCGTGTCACTCAACGGCCCAGTCCCGGAGCATCAGAAGCCACGGGGCTTTCTCGTGTGTTTTTTGAAGCCATTAACTTGACGGCCTCCGTAACTCACTGGAGACTTTGGACGCGGAGTCCGGGTCTGATTGCGGGCCGATGTTGCCTCTCGTAACACTTTTGTCTCCGTCCCCTAATCTGACGTTGGCAAAAGGCAGTTACCCCTTTAACTGTGACTTTAGCAAGGGATCAGTGCAGGGTCATGTGCAAACGTGCTTCTTATGACGCGAAGAGTGAATAGCTTTTCTGGTTGTTTTCAGCACACGCCAAAGAAGATGAGTCAAGGACCGACACTTTTCTCTTGTGGAATTATGGGTGAGTAACCAAGGTGGCCGTGAAGAGTGCTTCTCTAGTCCTTCCGCCAGGGCCTGAGTCCTCCAGGTGAGACGTTGGAAGCCCTTTCCGGACACGGACACGGGCACAGGGAGCAGAGTGGGGACTCTGCCACCCCGTTCCGACCCCAGTGGTGCCGGAGTGGCACCCGGGCTGCGGGGCCGAGTGAGCGGACGGGCGCTGGTGCGTGCTTTGCAAATGTCGTCTCCAACCGTAACGTTGAGTGTTTCTGTCTGGTTTTTAAGGTAACCACGTTCATTTTTTTTTTTTTTTTTTTAATTCGGAAAACGTACCCCGGTGTAAAGTATAAGATGAAAATCTCTCCTAGCCCCCCAAAACCCAGTGATAACTCCTATTGATATTTCGGTGTGTTTTTATGTCCTGTGAGTTTTTTTATGTAGCCACGATGAACACCGGGTTACATAGAATTAGATACGAAGAAGTTTTGCTTTTCTTTGTTTCACGGAGTCGCAGTTACCATCATTCCCGCATCGCATTACATTTGTTGGTTCCATGCTGGTTTAAGGAGGCTGAAGTACTGAATTGTGTATCAATATGTATTTAACGTTGTGACTATTTCTTGGCTGTTGGGTGGCATGGCTGTTTTATTTGCCGTTGTGATTAATTAACAGTGACTAAGCGTCGAAGTCATTGTCTTCTGTGTGCCTTCAGGATTATTCCTTAGGAGTTCCCAGGAGTGGAATAGAGAGGCCACAAGGCGGGAACGTTTTTAAGGGTCTTGCTTCATATTGTTGGCTTGCTTTCCAGAAAGGTTGTCTCAGTCCCCTGTGCCCGTGCGAGTGTTTATTACTGTTTTTTTTTACAAGGGGGCAGAGGGGATGACTGCACTGATTACATTGATTTTTTTCTGAGCTCCCAATGACCGAGCACGATCCCTCCTTTCACCGTGTCTCCGTGACTCCTGCCCCCCGTGGGGACACCTTGCCACATGAGTTTCTGTGAGGTTTGCATTGAGGCAGAAACCAAGCCTCCGAGATAGGCGACCACTTCAGGCCTTCAGCCTTTGACTCTGTGCACAGGGTTTTCTTTTTCTTCTTTAGGCTCCGTCCCGTAGGTGGGGTGACGAGGCTGGAGAGTCACAGGGAGCCCCAGGCTCCTGACTTTGCAGGGTCTCCGGGATTCTGCAGCAGCCTCGGTGTGGGGCGGGTGGGGATGCTCAGTTCACACCTGGGGAAACCAAGGCCTAGTGAGGTGACCAAGCTCCCTTGGCAGAGCCGGACCCAGGCTGGGGGAGAAGGAAGATTGTTTTTGTTTTTTTTTTTTCCCCTCAGTCATAAGCCACAGCCCTGTGGGAGAGCCCAGGTGGCCCTCTTCATGCTGCCACCCGGAGGAAATAGAAACAGGGAGATCACCTGGCCTCGGTTTACCCATGTGACACACTTCTGAAACCTGTCCCCCACATGGGGCTTGATTGAGCACCTCGTTGGTGGTTAACGGCTTTCAACAAACCCTCAGTCACTTAGCCACACGGCTCGGAAGCTTGCCTCACCGCCTGCTTCATGGGCTGGACTCAGTTGTGCTGTGGTTGAACTGCCTGCCTTTGTCCTGCCAGGAAGGAGAGAGAGGCACCTGGGCGCTCAGCCCCTCAGCCCCGCCTGGATTTCAGCTGTCAACTGGGCCAGGCTAGTACATGGGGCTGTGGAGACGTGGGTCTTTATTTCGAGGCCACTCGTACCTGACCTAGGCTGGTTCCAGGGCACTGCCAGGCAGCAGAGGAGCAGCCAGGTGCGGGGGTCTCCAGAGTCCTCCTGGCCTTCTCCTCAGCTCCTCTCTCTCTCGCATGCCCGTCTTTCTGTTGACCACCCCTCCTTGATTTGGGGAGACCCTGACCCATCTGAAGCGTGCATTCACGGTACATTTCAGGGACGTGTTCCGTTAGATGTTTATTGAGTACCTACTAAGTGTCAGGCACTTGGCACAGAGATAGAGTAAGTCTACCCCTGCCCTGGGTGGGGGAAGGGGGGTTCTGTCTAGTGGAGTCTGGAGGAACAGGGAATTCAGGGCATCTTCCTGAGCCTCGGTCCCCTCATCTTGCAGATTGTAGTTCTTGGTGAGATTTAAAGGGACAGCGGCACACAGGAGGTGCCGGCTCAGTCCCTCCCGCCCTCATCCCATTTCCGGGCACTCGTGCAGGTGGAGCGTCAGCAGTCTGAGGCCTCCCATGCCTGTGTGCGGCTGCAAGCTCAGGTGACCGCTCCTGCCCGCTTTAACCGGCGAATCGAGGCGTGGCCTCACCCTGCAACGTGAACTTGGTGGCAGGGGAGCATCCCAGGGAGTGAGATTTCACTTTAGGCCTGCCTGCTTTTTTTTTTTTTTTTTAATTTTTTTTTCAACGTTTTTTATTTATTTTTGGGACAGAGAGAGACAGAGCATGAACGGGGGAGGGGCACAGAGAGAGGGAGACACAGAATCGGAAACAGGCTCCAGGCTCTGAGCCATCAGCCCAGAGCCCGACGCGGGGCTCGAACTCACGGACCGCGAGATCGTGACCTGGCTGAAGTCGGACGCTTAACCGACTGCGCCACCCAGGCGCCCCAGGCCTGCCTGCTTTTTAATAGCACTCTGGGTCCAGCCGGACTTCTCAAGAGGGTTTTGAGCCTTTCCAGGGCTGGACAATACTCAGCCAAGACAAAATGTCCTGTTACTCTAATCACCGAACCCCCTGTCTGGCCCTGATCGGTGGACTTCTCCTGTGATTGCTGGGGACAGCTTGGCCCTGTGACTCAGGGCATTTCCCTCCTCCTGAGCCCCCATGCAAGGGTCCTAGCTGGAAGCCAGTGTGAGTTTGAGTTTCCTAAGCATTCTTAAGAAAACCCAGGCAAGGACATTAGGGTGGGGAGTGCAGTGGCCTTTTTGCTTCCTCTTAAAAAACCACCCTTTCAAGTTGTTCAGCCTCCTCTGCACCCACTTAGATAAAATGCCTCACTAATATGATCAAGTGCTTGCAACAGTATGTGTTCTTTTGTAAGTACTTTACGTTGTTGTGAGCTGGCCTCTGGGCCCCGCCCCCCCCCTAGCTTCCCCCCCCCCCACCCCCCCACACCAAGTTTGGGAACTTGGTACAAAGAAGTGGTTTTGTGCTTGTCCAAAGCGGGGGAGAGAGAAGAGCAGGGCAGAGTGGAGCCAGGCCACCACCCGGCCTGCTCTGCACCAGGGCCCCGTGCTCCTTACTAGGTTGTGAGCCCCGCCTGGTCCCGGAAGGGCTCCTCCTAGCAGAGACTGTGTTTTGCCCCGTGGCTTCCCTTCTCACCTCCCGTACCGTCCCGAGGACACTTTCTTTGCTGAACTGGAATTTCCTCTGCAGGCGGCTTCTGTGGGGAAGAGCTGTGTACGTGCCCAGTTATTGTGTTCTCAACACAGGAAACCTTGGTCAGGTGGCAGCTTCGTGGGTGTGGGCCGCCTGCTGGTCAGCTGGCCTGGCAGGCGGGCCAGCCCTTGCTGCCGGCCATGACTTCCAGCGGGTGGAGAAAGGGGCTCGGCCGCCCCTGAGAGGATCGCCGTGTGCTTGGAGAGGCAGGGGCTCTACGCGCATCCTTCCAACACGGCTCCCCCCCAGGTCCTCTGTCGTTCGCCCTGGGAGATGCTTCTTCACGCTGACCCAGGGGCACACGTGTATCAGTTTAATCTTTTGGTGAAACAGGGCAAGTGGGGTGAGAGCAGCCCCCATTCACCACCCTTGGCTAATTGCACCCATTAACTGAATCCTGTATTGCAGGGACAATGGACACTACATATTCCCTTTTCCTCACCACTCAGGCGAGGAGAGGCCTGGAAATCAAATAATAGGTGAGAAAGCGAACGCAATACCAATTATTGCAAAAAGGCCACTAGGAAAAGTCGTGTAAATACAAGTCAACGAACAGAGGACAAAACAATTCGTATGCTTAAAAAAAAAAAAAAATTGCAAGGAAACCCATAATTACTTTAGGAGTTATGGTAATAAATTATTTATTAATGTAAATTATTTCACAGGCAGAGAACATAGAGAAACGAGCAGAAGGATCATGCATTATGTATAAAAGGGAATTGTAAAAATATGATAGCAGCCCTTACTTGTGCCACTCTGGTTCAGGTTTGTCAGCATTTTAATTATAAGCCCTTACTTTCTGTGTTTAATTACTTGGCTGTTAAAGTCTACTCTGTACATGAAAGGGTTGTTCCCGGGGGCACTCTCCGTGTTAATTTCTACGGGGTAAACCAGTTGGCTGTGCTGAGCCGCGTGGGACTGGAAGATTCCGCGTTGAGATTTGATAGCTTTTGGTCTTTTCACTCCACCACTGTTCATTGCTGGAAGTGGAGTGGGATTGCACCTCGGGTGCAAAAGCCGGCACTCGGAGGTGGGGCATTTTAGATGTCCTAGAACCGGCAGAGGACTGAGACGAAATGGACAACGGTAATGGCACCTGAGTGGCTCAGGCCCGTTTCTGGTCTCTGCCGCTGCTTCTGTCTCTCTCAGAGGTAGCCATTTGGAATCCGATCATTGGACCAGAGCCTCCCATAAGAAACAGATGATCAACCAAAATCGGCTAGAGAGAGCTTCGTTTTCATTTTTAAAAGCACATCCATTTATGACTATGCAGACGTATGATTTTTCTGAAGTTTGCTTTTTCTTTGTTATTGGTTTTTATTTATCGTCGGTACACGTGTGAGTTTTCACTCCCTCAAATAGCTTCAGGTTTGTCCGTGCAGAGTGCTTTGAATGTTTCCTCGCACCATTTATTGGTTTCAGACGGTGTTTCCGGAATAAAGAACAGACTGGAAGTGGGTGCAAAGTGTGGTTGGCACATGAGAGCTGTTCACGGTGACCAGTGAGAAGGGAGCCTCCCGGGCTGCCTTCTCGCCCAGGCTGGCCTGCCTTGGGGCGGGGAGGGGGCCCACAGTGGCGCCAGAGGACAGTGGAAGACAACTGGCAGGCTGACTGGGCACCATCCACCACGGTGCATTGCCAGGTAGGAAGGTGG